CTATAATCCTGCACATTTTGATCTTTTTTTAAAAAAGAGGGATAATTAATTTTAAATCATTTATGGGTTCACATCATGCATGGACATTCCCCACTTTTATTATATAATTGGCATTAAAGGAAAACATTTGCTGATTTGAAGCTGGGTGATGTGTTAAAATTATAAGTAATAAACATCTAACCTGTGGTAGATGGCCTCTTCAACGACCTCAGTTTGGAGAAATATCAAACTAACGTGTGTTCCTGCCATTTTAAACGGCTCCAAAAAACTACATTTCAAAGTCGTTTATTGGATTACTGCTTAATTATCTTTTTTCTTTTTGAACTTCCGGTTTTGTTATTTTTTTAAAAACCTACGTAAATTTTGTAAACTACGTAGCTTGAGGGTGACCGCAGTTATTTTATGAAGCCAGAGGAGGACACAAAGAATAAATTGTGCCAACCTGGATAGAGGCAGCAGGTAGTGATTTTACAGCTTCAGTAGCTGCTGTTGTGTGTTGTTTTCACAAACTTTGGTCCTTTTTTTTATTTTAAATTTGTGCAAATTTTGTAAAGTCATGTAATCTTCATAAGATTAAAGGTGTTAATGTCTTCTTCCACAATCCTACCTAAAAGCCTGGTTCAGGGGCATCTGGGAGTCACAAATGCTAAAGATTATCCTTTTTTTTTTTAGTTTAAAAAAAATAAAATTCTATTTTTGTTTAAATAACGACATTTTGCATTTTGACCACGATGTAAAAATAGCTGTACTGCCGTGAGAGTTTGATCTGAGCCATTTAAGACGACAGGAAACCAACCCCTCTAAAATGGTACCCTTTTAAAAAGCTATCTACTACAGGTAAGATATTAATTATTTATAACGCTCACAGAGAAACCAACAAATTAATTGTTTGAAAAATAACAGCTTCTAATTTGTAACCTGATGTTCTAAAAGCAATAATTCAGAGTCAAACTGAACACTTTGTTAGATGTAAACTGATTGTTCTTCATCATTCAGTTTCTGTATTTTACCGGATGATTTTCTCACTGTGTTGTTTTGTTTGTTTGTTTTTTTGTCTGTTTGTTTGTTTGTGCTCCAGGGCCCGGTGATATACGCCCAGTTGGACCACTCGGGCAGTAAAAACTCCTTTCATAAGATTGAGCCGGTCGTCTACGCTGACATTCGGAAAAACTGAAGACGGGGAACAAAAACATAGAAATAATAATGAAAACACACAAAAAAAAGTGAGCGACCTCTGGATTAGCTGCTCTCGGGGAGGGGGGGACGAGTTCAACAGGGACAAAAAATGGTGCCGTTTCTCTTTTTATTTTGTTTTTTTGATCGATATATTTTGTCCTCTGAAAGCATGATTCTGTTACATGATAATGTCTAAACGTGCTTTGTCGTTCTCAAAAAAAGCAAAGAAAACGCTCCATTTTATCAGCCTTGAAAAGAAAAACTCTCTCGCACAAAGAAAATAACCTTTTAGCGATCATTCCAGCTGTAAAAATCGTAATTTTTTTTTATTTCTGTGACGTTGTCCGTTCTCACACGCACGAGGTAAAACACGTTTGCAGACTGTTGCACCGACGAAAATGTAAAATCTCTTCTTGACCATCTCATGTCTTAAACACTGACCCCAACCAGAAACATTTGAATTAAATCAGATTCATTAAGGAACCAACGAACCTTAAGGTGTTTATTTCTGTTCTACAGAGACAACTAAATGAAGGGATTTTGTTTGGTTGGGTCGTAATCTCAATCTAAACCAGATTAAGTCTGAATCTTTGACCAGTTTTTGGATCCATGACTGAAAATCTGAATTCAACTCAAACCTCAGCTTCAGACTCTAAAGCTAAATTGGGGCCATAAAGATTTACAAATTTTATTTTTTGAAACGTGAAGAAAAATGTTTAAAAACTACAAACGTTTCAAAAC